AATAACTTACAGCCATAAGTAATTCGGATGATTAAGTTTCCCTTAAGTACAGTACATTCTCTTAAGTTTTGTAACTGATGATCGACGGATGATATTATAAGGTTTTTACCTTCTTTATCTTTTACTTCGCATTCTGAAATAGTAAAAGTTCTCGTTATTTCTTTATAGTAAATCATTATATATAGGTAGTCTGATGCTATATACATATTCGTATAACTTGTCATCTAAGGAAGATTTTGAATTACTTCATTAATAAATATATCTTGATTAAACTACATTATAGCTATGCATGTACAGTATTATCTAAATTAGTATGAGTATATGCGCATGCAATGTTTTTTATACCTCTCTTGCAAGCACTACAGACTGTACAAGTTTTACTCGATTCGTCTTCTATCCATCCTGTAGGACACTTTCTGACGCACTTATTTAAGTGGTGATAAGATCCTGGAGGACAGCGCTTTAAGCAATGACCTTCTATCTACAGAATTGGGATATAAATTGGGTGATATAGATATGGATTTGTTGAATTCATCATCATAAGATACACATTAAATAGGTAACATATATTAAATATGATACGGTACGGCTTAATGAAGGATATTCAGTCAAGTGGCTTAGTATTGTAGCAGATCTATTGGACAATACCTCATAAGTGCCAGTAGGGCATGTTATCATGCAAGTTCCATTATAATTCTGATACCTACATACATAGCAATCGCTTGCTGAAGGACCAGAACAACCTCCCAAACATTGAAAGTGGCAGCATCTTCCATTACTATTGCAGCCGGATTCACCACAGTGATTACATACTATTTCAGTTGGTTACATAGAGAGAAAATAATTTAAGTATAGAAAGGTGGTCGGGCTACAGTTAAAAAGAAACGATTTTGAGATATCATCATCATAAGCGTACTATTAGAATATATAGTAGTAGTAGTAATCATATATATCATTACTAATAAATGGTCATTTTACTAAGTAAATACAATTCATATTGTAGGACATATACAATAACGTACTAATTTGGCAATATTTTGAATTCCAACAATAGCCATTGCATCGAGTAGGGCAAGAA